GGGGTGTCCCTGATAGGCTTTGTACTAATTGGGACTTTTAGCCAAGCAAAAAAACCTGTCAACATTTTAATCAAATGAACTTACTGAGAAGTTGATGAGTAAGTTTTTGTGACAGCTGCCTATCATCACTGAAGCCGCCCACGAGATGAACTTCCAATCTGGCAAAGAGAGGGGACAGTGGTCAAAGGCCAGCACAGCTCACCACAGTGTTTCTGGTCTCGCCCTCAATTTTGGTTCTTGGCTTCCACGACCCTTGCTCTGGAGCCCTGCTTCCCAACCTTTTTCAGACAGTACTTGTGGGGCACACTGGTGAATGGATAAGACTAGAGGCAAGCTTCTGGGGATTCTGCCTAACTATGTGGTGGTGATCATGATAGTGGTGGGGTTGGTGGTGAGGGGAGGAATTCTGGGTCATAAAAGTGATGCCTTGATGCACAGAATTGAGACATTCTTCAATTCTATCAATTATTGGAATCATCACCCACAGTAGGATGATTGCAAAGTCCTTTCAATTTCCCTACTTAAGAGAAATTAAGGCTGTACAGGAAAAGAGTTAGTCAAGAGCCCATTGTGTGGAGGGGTTACAGGAGACACTTCACAGGTGGTGTCCCACTAGATACCCAGTGTTTTCAGGAGAGCAGGGTGACGACATTTTAGAGACAGACCCGTGAAGCTCCAAGGGGAGCCTGGCTTTGTCTAGAGCACAGGCTTTCTCCTTTCTCGAGAAAGCTCCCTTCACTGTGACCCACTCAAGATGGGGAAAGTGTTCCTGGGGTTAGGAAATACCTCTGTCAAATCCCCATCCATGGAAGCCCATCTTAGGACAGTCACACTGTGCAAAGGCAGAAGCATATGACTCTTAAGGCCCTCAGGTCAAAAAGCCTCATTTGTTCCCCACACTCATCTACTGATCACCTTTTTCACACATTATAACTACCTAGGAGCCTCAGTGTGGAAAAAATAGTAATGCACATTGCCCACAACCTGCACACCCCCACCCAAAAATCAGTCACGGTACATCCTATGGAGCGTTCCGCTCTGATTCACATGAGGCCACTAGAAATTGGAATTGACTCAATGGCAACTGATTAGTTAGTTGGTTATAGTTTGTTTATTGATTCTCCTGAGACCAGAAAATGAGGGGACTTCAAAACATTTCATGGGAAATGCACAAAAAGATAATGGCATCTAAATCCACAGGAAAGAAAGACAATAGCCTGTATAATCCAAGGACTGTAAATAATGAAATCCAAGGTCAGATAGGGGAACTGTATTAGAGATTAAATTTGAAGCACCCAGTTTGCAAAAGGCTATGGATGACAGAGAAAGCCCAAGTCCATTTGCAGAGTCCCCACAGGGATTATGCCTCCATTTTTTTCCCTTAGAACATTGACCACAGATATGGATAATCTTACCCTCTGAGTGCATCAGAAAGTGAATTAATGAAGATATAGTTAGGTTAAACTTTAATATTGTATCAGTTGTTTTCCCTTCTGACCCACTTCTAATTAGTTCTAGTTTTTATTTCTGCTTTATTTCAGATTGAGGTTTTTCTGTTTTATGTTGTTACTGTTTTGAGTTTTTTTAGTATGATTTTCTTTATATGAAATCCAGGATAAGTAAATCTGTAGAGACAGTAACTAGATTAATTGCTTCTTGGGGTTATGGCAGAGGATATTGGAGGAAGATGGGAACTATTAATAATGCGTATAAAAATGAAGGAATGGGGACTTCTAGGATGATGGCACTGAGCTCTTACCAGTGTCAAGGGCTCTGCGGCAATTGTTGGGTTAGGGGACTGGGAGGCTGAGTGGGGGGGTCCGGGATGTGCAATTAGGCCTCATGGCACCCCAGGGCTCTGCTCCAACCTATGGGGCAGCCTTCTCCACAGCGTCAAGAAGCCCTGCCTCCTACCCACTCACACCATGGAGCTGCTGTGACTTGTGTCCTGGTTCCTGGGACATCTCAGCCAGCACCACCCATGCTGTGTGGCTTCCTGCCTTTGGCCCCCACCTGCACTGCACTCCCCCCATGCTGGCCTGTCAAACACGATTCCTATGCTATCGTTCTGCCCACCACCACTCTCACTACCCACACACAACTGCCCACCTGTGCTTTCCCTCCAAATAGATAATCCTAGGTGTCTAGCAAGAAAGTAAAACCCCAGTGAGATAGAGACGCAGCCTGACCCCCCAGCACAGTTAACTCCAGGCAGTCCTTAGAGTCATTCTTAATACCCTCCCAGAGAGAAAACACAGGGTTCCTGGACCCCCAGGAAAATGATGCCAAGCTCCACCAAAATGACACGCAGTAAACAATCTATATCAGCAACCACTAAAAGAAAGCAAGAGAAACAAAATGTAATGTCTAAGGAGGACCTGAACCTAGCAACGCACACAAAAGAAGCAGACTTTTATCCATCACAGAAAGAAATCTTTAAAATGCTGCTTAGAGTCATACAAGATATGAGGGAATCAACAGAGAAAAAGGAAATAATAGGATAAAATTCACATACTGAAGGGAAATACAAGAGCTAAGAGACCATGCAACAGAATTAAAAAATAAGGTAAGAGACCTTACCAATAAGAGAGTTAAGAGACCATGCAACAGAATTTAAAAAATAAAGTAAGAGACCTTACCAACAGGCTGGAAGAAGCAAAGAACTGTATCAGCGACTTCGAAGACAGCTGAGCAGAATTTAACAAGCAAGATACCATATATACTCATATATAAGCCAAGGTTTTTCAGCACATTTTTAATGCAGTTTTTGTGGTAAATTTAGGTGCGTCGGCTGATATTCGTGTTGGCTTATACTTGTGTCAATGAACATTGATACAAAAATCCTTAGCAAAATTTTGGCCAATAGAATACAAAAGTATATAAAAAGAATAATTCATCATGACCAAGTGGGATTCACACCAGGGATGCAGGTGTGGTTCAACATCAAAAGGATAATAGGATAATCAAAGAAGCTGAAGAAAACCTGCAAACAATGAGTGATGCTATAAAGAGGAACAATCTTCAAAGAATTGGGATACCAGAACAAGACATAAGAAATCAACAGCCAAAATAGCGAGAGAACTCCTGGAAGCAAACTTCCCCAACTAATGAGAACCAGAAAAATCAACCAGGAAAAAGAGAGGACACAAATTAGACAGAACCCCAAGACGAATACACCAAAGCATACAGTAGTCAAATTATCCAACTTTGAGGAAAAGGAGAAAATCCTAAGAGCAGTTAAGAGGAAAAAAGCAGTCATCTATACGGGTACTCAGATGTTCAGACTTATCATAAAAAAACATGAAGAGGAGAGATTGGAGTAGCTTCAGAAAGTTGAAGGAGAATAACAGTAACCCAAGAATCCTCTATCCCACCAAACTATCCATCAAAATAGATGGAGAGGTAAGGGTTTTCCCAGACAAGGAAAAATTTAGAGAATACATTAAAAAAAAAACAAAAAAACAGCACTACAAAAAATTCCAACTCAATTTGGACAGAAGACCAACATCCACAGAGCACAACCATAAGACCACCACATAGTGTAACACACCCAAAAGTCAACTCACTGGCAGCAACACCCAAGACATCACTGGCCCAATGGTGAAAAGAAGGCAAACATGGATGCCCCACCACATACACATCACACTGCTGAGGAGGGAGGTAAAAAAATATCTAACATAAAATGTACAAGATGACAACCAAGAATCCAGATGGATGTAATAACAATGAATATCAATTGTCTAAATTCACCCATGAAAAGAGAAAGGCTAGTAAACTGGGTTAGGTGAAAAACCCATCCATCTGCTGTTTGCAAGAGGCACATCTCAAGCTTGCAGACAAAAAACAGGTTGAGGATCAAAGGCTATTGAAAAGTATACCAAGCGAATGGCAATTTTTAAAAAGCAGGCGTTGCAATCCTAATCCCTGACAAATCTCACGGTGCAGGCCATAACTAGAGATAAGGATAAGCACTATATAATGCTTAATGGATCAGTAGACCAAGAGTCAATAAGCATAATAAATATGCCCGCAATAAGAGACCCACGAAATCTGTCAATCAAATCCTTCAAAAGATGAAAAAAGAAATGAAGGGTTCAATCAGTAGGAAACTTCAATACACCATTTTCTGAGAAAGACAGATCAGTGGGAAAGAAGCTCAACAAGGAGGCTACAGAACTAAGCCCTACAATTAGACAAATTGACCTAATAAATATATTCAAATATACTTTTGTCAGCCAACTGCAAAAAAAAGTCACAGTATTTTCAAGTGCACATGGCACGTATTCAAAAAATGAACCACATCCTGGGCACATGTCAAACTTGAGTATATTCAAACATAAGAGATCACTCAGACTTCCTTCTCTGACCACTAATCCATAAAGCTAGAAATTAACAAAAGAAAGAATAAAAAAACAAGGGCAAATACTTGGAGGATAAGTAACTTTCTTCTTCAAAATGACTGGCTACTTGCCCAAATTAGAGATGAAATTAGGACAAGTCTAGAAACTATTGAGAATGAGAACACAGCATACAAAAACCTATGGGATACAGCAAAGGCAGTTATCAGATGATGTTTGATAGCAATAAATGCACATATGAAGAAGGCAGAGAGACTTATGGTCGATAAAAACCTTCAGCAGTTGGAACAGAGTCAACAGAATAATCCTTCCAATAGCAAAAGAAAAGAAATAAAAATCAGGTGGAGATAAATGAATGGGAAAACAAGAAATCAATGCAAAAAAAATCAACGCAGTAGAAAGCTGTTTCTTTGAAAGGATCAACAGAATCAACAAACCGTTGGCAAATACAACCAAGACAGGAAGGAGCAGACATCAATGTCCAGGATAAGGGATGAAATCATGGAAATTACCACAGACCCTAATGAAATTAAAAGATTCATTACACAGTACTAAGAAGCTCTGTACTCTAATGAATACAACAACTTGGAAGACGTGTACAAATACCTGAGGAAAAAACCCTCACCAGATTATTTCATATAGTCGCCAAGAACCTGAAGAGACTGATAGCAAAAGAAGATAGAGATAAGATTACCAAGGAACTATCAACTGAAAAAAGTTCTGGTCCAGATGGCTTCACAGGAGAATTCTACCAAGCATTCAGAGACGAGCTGACAACAATTCTACACAAGCTCTTTCAGAGCATATAAAAGGACAGTGAAGTTCCAAACACAGTCTATGAAGGTAGTCTAACACTGATACCAAAATTGGGCAAGGATCCCACAAGACAAGAGAATGATAGGCTGATATCTCTATTGAACATTGACACAAAAATCCTTAGCAAAATTTTGGCCAATGGAATACAAAAGTATATCAAAAGAATAATTCATCATGATCAAGTGGGATTCATACCAGGGATGCAGGTGTGGTTCAACATCAAAAGATCCATCAACATTATATCCACCACATGATAATATCAATAAATGCAGAAAAAGCATTTGACAACATTCAACACCATTCCTAATTAAGACACTCAAGAAGATAGGATTAAAAGGAACATACCTCAATTTAATACAGGCTATATATGAAGAACAGCCAGAATTACAAACAATGGAGAAAAGACTGAAATATTTCCACTGAAAAAGGGGACCAGGCAACGATGCTCCTTATCCCCATTTTGATTCAACATCGTCCTGGAGGTCCTAGCTAAAAACATAAGGCAATTGAAGGGCATCAAAGGTATTTGGGGAAAGAAGTGAAACGACTGTTAATTGCAGATGATTTTACATATTGAGAAACCCAAAGGCTCTACAATCAGAGTGCTGGAAGTGATAGAGAAATATGGTAGAATGGCAGGATATAAGATAAACAAGCAGAAGTCCAATGGAGTGCTAAACGTAAACTGAGATATCTAGGGATATACCTAATCAAAAAAACAAAAGATCCGTACAGGGAAAACTACAGAACATTATTACAAGAAACCAAAAGGGACCTTCACAAATGGAAGAACATCCCATGCTCGTGGATTGGAAGACTCAATATTGGAAGGTTCAATAAAATA